CTATAAAAACAAATTTACCTGTATGTATTTATCTGTAAAAACCATTCTTAGGTCACAAGTCTTATGAAAACATGCTGTGTTGTTTGCTGAGCCTGGATCTATTTAACTATTTGCTCTATGTTTTGAGATTTGGGATTTCTTTTGGATCTTATTTATCTTTGAATTCGTAGGCAACACGCACTACCTGGCACATTATATGTGCTCAGTAACTTTAAACAAGTTTTTTGTTTGTTATTTTAAGCCATGAAGAGATTTGAGTCTTAATTGTCTCAGACTTTTTATCTTGATGAATACTACTTTGACTTTTTTTTCTCAGCTGAAATAAACAGTTCTCTCTCTCTCTCTCTCTCTCTCAAATTAAATATTTTTGTGAATTTAGGAGTACAAGTGCAGCTGTGTTACATGGATATATTGTGTAGTGATAAAGTCTTGGTTTTTAGTGTACCCATCATCTAAATAGTATGCATTGTACCAAACAGGTGGTATTTTATTCCTCAACCCTCTCCCACCCACCTACCATTTGGAATCCCCTGTGTCTATTACTCCATTCTGAATGTCCATGTGTAGCCACTGTTTAGCTCTCACTTGTAAGTAAGAACATGTGGTTTTAAATTTTTTGCTTCTGAGTCATTTCATCAAGTATAATAGTTTTCAGTTCCATCTATGTTGCTGGAAGATACATGATTTTATTCCTTTTTAGAGCTGAGCATATTTCATGGTATATATAATGCCTCCCTGCCTTTTTTTTTTTTTATCCAACATGTAGGTAAGTTGATTCCATGACTTTGCTTTTGTGAATAGTGCTGTGATAAGCATACAAGTGCAGCTTTAAAAAAAAAAAAGTTTTCATTTTCTTTGGGTAAATACTCAGTTCTGAAATTGCTGGATCAAATGGTAGTTCCATTTTTAGTTCTTTGAGAAATTTCGGTACTATTTTTCATAGGAGCTAACCTAATTTACATTCCCACCAACAGTGTATGAGTTCCCTTTTCACTGAATTCTCGTCAACACCTATTGTTTTTTTGACTTTTTAATAATAGTCATTCTGACTGGCATAAGGTAATACCTCACTGTGGTTTTAATTAGCATTTGTTTGATGATTGGTGATGTTGAACACTCTTTTGATAAGTGTCTGTTCATGTCCTTTGCCTACTTTTTTTTCTTGTTGAATTGTTTGTATTCTTTGTAGATTCTGGATATTAGCCCATTGTCAAATGCATTGCTTGTGAATAATATGTCTGATTTTGCAGGTTGTCTGTTTACTCTGTTGCTTGTTTTGTTGTGCAGAAGCTTTCCAGTTTAATGAAGTCCCATTTGTCTATTTCGTTGTTGTTGCATTTTCTTTTGAAGACTTAGTCATACATTTTTGCCTAGTTCAATGTCCAGAGGAGCTATTCCTAGGGTTTTTTTCTTTTTGGATTTTTATAGTTTCAGGTGTTACATTTAAGTCTTTAATCCATCTTGATTTAATTTTTGCATATGGTGAGACAGAGCAGTCCAATTTTTCTTCTGCATATTGCTCTTCATTTATTCCAGTTCCATTTATTAAATAGAGCATTCTTTCCCCAGTGTATATGTTTGTCAAATTTGTTGAAGACCTGTTGGTTGTAGGTGTGTAACTTTATTTCTGGGTTCTCTATACTGTCCCATTGATCTGTGTGTCTATTTTAATACCAGTACCACACTATTTCGGTTATTATATCTTTGCATTATAGTATAGTTGAGCTTTTTTTTTTGGTTCCTTATGAATTTTAGCATTTTTTTTCTAATTCTATGAAGAATGACATTGATAGTTTAAAATAAATGGTATTGAATCTGTAGATTGCTTTGAGCAATTAATGATATTGATTCCTTCAATCCATGGGCGTGTATTATTTTTCCATTTGTTGGTGTTGTCTATGATTTTTTTCTGCAGTGTTTTGTAGTTTTTTTTTTGGTAGAGATCTTTTACTGCATTGGTTAAATGTGTTCCTAGGTATTTGGTTTATTTGTAGATATTGTAAATGGAATTGAGTTCTGACTTGGTTCTCAGCTTGATCATTATTGGTATATAGAAATGCCACTGATTTTTATATGTTGATTTTATATTCTGTATCTTTACTGAAGTCATTTTTCAAACCCAGGAGTCTTTTGGAGGAGTCTTCAGGGTTCTCTCGGAATAAGTTTATATCACCAGTGAACAGAGATATTTGACTGTCTCTTTCAATTTAGATGCCTTTATTTCTCTTTCTTGCCTGATTGCTCCAGCTAGAACTTCCTGTCTTCTCATTTTTATTGCAAAGATTTACTTTCTGTTATGATAATAATACTTTACACGTATTTTAGGAGATGTTGAGTATTTTTTCTGCTGTCTTCTTGAGCATCTAGCCTTCCCTAAGAAAAAATAAATTACTTTGACATAAACTTTTATTACTGATCAGATTTCATTCTATAATACATTTCTTTTTAAAATTTCTCTATATGTCAGTAGATCTACTGAGTATCAAATGAAATTCAAGATTTTAATAAATAAATATTTATTTATATAAATTTAAGGGGTGTACAAGTGCAGTTTTTGTTACATAGATATATTACATAGTGGTGAAGTCTGGGCTTTCAGTCTTACCATTACCCAGTTAGTGTGGATGAAGTACTACTTTGACATTATGCACTATTTTTCTTTTAAGAATTTTCATATCTATTATTTCATGTCTATTACCTACTATGTAATAAGGAAAGGACTAATGTTATTATTCCCATTTTACTGATATGATAATGTAAGTGAATAGCATTTACCCAAAGTGACACATGATAGAGCCAAAACTAGAATAAAAGAATTCTGATTCTCAGCTATAGTGGGTTTTCCAAGGATTGCACTACACATTCTCAAGTATGTGTGTCTCTTGTTCACTTTAAGAATTATGAATTATTAGAAAATTCAGAGGTATAAGTAAACCAGCATGGGCTGGTGAAGTGGCTTTGTTGTCTGGGGTGATTAATCAGGGTTTGTTGTCTCACAACAAGAAAATTTAGAACACAGACACATTTGAGGAGTTTAGGAGCAGGGCTTTAATAGGCAAAAGAAAGAGAAAGGAAAACAGCTCTCTCTAGTGAGACAGAGGGGTATACCAGTGAATGGATGGAGGAACAAAGTCAATACCAAATGATAGTACCAACAATACTTGCCGAAAGAGGGTAGGGAAGAGAATGTTCCACAAGGTGTTAAGGGAGATGGTTGGAAAAGACTTCCTGGAAGAGATAGAAGTTAAACTACAACTTCAAAAAAAGATACCATCTAGGCAATGCAGAATTTATAGGACACTTGGGGAAAGGGCTTGAACAAAACCATGAAGGTAGAAAGAATGTGAATATATGTTCAGAAAATAATGAATAGGCCAGTTTATTGTGAGCAGTTTTATTTAAGGAAGTAGTTGAAGATACATTTTCAGTGTTGGGAAGGAAGGTGATGAGAAAGGCCAAGTATGGGAGTTTGATAGTTTACTGCAAAAAATAATGAGCTGTCAACAAAATTTAAACAGGAAGATGGAGTTGAGATAAGCACAAAATATTGTAGGCAAGCTAAATCTAATTTATTCCTAGACTGAAGCATTGAATACTGTTAATTATTTTTGCTACATAAATGTGTACTGCAACTGCTACATCTGTGTACTTTTTTCATTGTGCTCTGTTTCCCTTAGCGTTATCAAAAAACTAAATGCAATTTCATCATTGATGATTTAGAGGGACCTTGAAGATCTTTCTGTGACTCAAATATTTGTCTTTTTTCCAGATCAATTATTATATTTTGGATGAATAGAAATGCTAGCTTTTAGAGAAAAATTGTGTGTTTGAGAGTATCTTTATAGTCTACAACAGTGTAAGAAGATATTTTATTAATGTTCTATAAGTTTAAGATTTGTTCCTGTCTACTCTTAATTACAAAGTAATATAATGCTGGAATTGGAAACTTTGAGTTCATTTTTACATGGATTTATTCTTTTGAGCAAAGTAGGAAATGAGGGTATGTATAATGTGAAAATAAACTCAGTATTTCACCAATAAAAATATATTGTTCCGAGCTATTTTAAAAAGTGAATTCATATATAGATAAGTTTGACTTGCTTAATGTGTTGTTAGTGTACAGTAGGAGGCAGATTCATCTTCCCTCTCCCTAGCACAATTCCTTAGTGAACATGGGAACCATCTGGCTGCCACATATGCACCCAGCTGCACTCTCAACAGGAGTGGTGTATGTAAGAAGTTTCACAGAAGCTTCTTCTCCGTTTGTAGGGTTAGACTTCCTCCTGCTAGTCTGGGTAAGTTCTTGAGATGCCAAATCATTAAGCACAGTTTCCAGTGTGGGAGGCTCTTGAACTTCCCCCACCATCTCAGGCTTGAATAAATGCAGATCGTTCCACAAGCCTAAGCAAATACTCTATTGTGTTACTCTCCAGAGTGGTTTGAGATTGTACACTTGAAGAATTCCTCCCCAAGACTATCTTGCCATACTGAAAATGTACACTTTTCAGAGCTTTGGGGTCTAAATCCAGCCTAAAGACTATTTGTCAGTTTCACTTCCTTAAAAAGGCAGGGGTAGCTCCCCATGGCTCCATACGTGCATGGGATCACACAGATTTCTCTCCATTGCAGGGTAGAGAGTGAAAGAATTGGATTCATTTTGTGGTATCTCCGCATTTCTTCATTCATAGGCAAATAAACGTTTTACATAACTGCTCCTTTCTTCTTTCTTTGGTTTGATTGCATGCCTTTTCAAGTGCATACTGTATCTTAAGAGAGGGGAGAGGGAAAGATGTTAATGAGGAAGCAAGCAAGAGGCTCTGAAACAACCTGCTTTGGGAGAGGCAACTTCTATATTACTAATGATTTTGATCCCCTTCCTCTTCTCTTCTTGCATTTCTTTTGCAAAACACCATACATCCAACACCTTTCAATGGCCAGGAAGCTCTTCATCTCAAAAGCTACACAAACCTAGGCAAAGCTATGCAAAAAAAGTAGTTTAGATGTACAGTAGCAATACTCTCTCCAGCAATGCATCGAGTGCCCATAGTGATGAGAAGTGGTATGATGGGGACCTCACGGAATCCGAACTCAACAGCTATAACTATCTGCAAGGCACCTCTGCTGACAGTGGCATTGACACCACCTCTTATGGCCCCAGCCACGGCAGCACAGCCTCCCTGGGGGCTGCCACATCGTCACCTCGCTCAGGGCTAGGCAAGGAGAAAGTGCCACCCCTGTGGCACAGCTCCAGTGAAGTAATCTCCATGGCAGATCGGACTTTGGAGACAGAGGGCCACGGCCTGGACCGGAAAACAGAGTCTTCCCTGAGCTTAGACATACACAGCAAGAGCCAAGCTGGCTCGAGCCCTCTGACAAGGGAGAACAGCACCTTCAGTATAAATGATGCTGCTTCCCACACAAGTACCATGAGGTCCCGACACTCTGCCACCCCAGTGGTTTTCACCAGTGCCCGCAGTTCACCTAAAGAAGAGCTTCATCCAGTCGCCTCCTCGCAGCTTGCACCGTCCTCCTCCTCCTCCTCCTCCTCCTCCTCCTCCCCCTCCCCCTCCCCCTCCCCCTCCCCCTCCCCCTCCTCCTCCTCCCCCTCCCCCTCCTCCCCTCCCCCTCCGCCTCCGCCTCCGCCTCCGCCTCCGCCTCCGCCTCCGCCTCCTCCGCCTCCGGTCCTAGAAGATTTTACCCTCTCCAGGACGCTACTAGCAAGTACCTAACTGGATGGAAAAAACCTGAAGGAACCATAAACTCTGTGGGATTTATGGACATGAGAAAGCGTCACCAGAGTGATGGCAATGAAACAGCCCACACCAGGCTGCGTGCTTCAACCAGAGACCTATGGGCATCTCCTAAGCCAGCAACCTCCAAATCCACCATTGAAGAAAACCTAAAGAAACTGATCGACCTTGAAAGCCCAACTCCTGAATCACAGAAGAATTTTAAGTTCCACGCACTCTCCTCTCCACAGTCTCCTTTCCCCAGCACCCTCACCTCGCGGCAGGCCTTGCACAGAACACTGTCGGACGAGAGCATTTACAGTGGCCAGAGGGAGCACTTTTTCACCTCGAGGGCTTCACTTCTGGACCAAGCCTTGCCCAACGACGTCCTCTTCAGTAGCACGTACCCTTCTCTCCCCAAGTCTCTCCCGTTGAGAAGGCCTTCTTACACCTTAGGAATGAAGTTGTTGCATGGAGAGTTCTCGGCCTTGGACAGCTCCCTCACCGACATCCAGGAGACCCGCAGGCAGCCTATGCCCGACCCTGGTCTAATGCCCCTGCCTGATGCTGCTGCAGACTTGGATTGGTCCAACCTGGTAGATGCTGCCAAAGCCTATGAGGTCCAGAGAGCCTCTTGTTTTGCTGCTAGTGATGAAAACCATCGCCCCTTGAGTGCTGCATCCAACAGTGATCAGCTGGAGGAACAGGCTCTGGCCCAGATGAAGCCTTACAGCAGTAAAGACTCCTCTCCCACTCTGGCTTCTAAAGTGGATCAGCTGGAAGGTATGCTGAAGATGCTTCCGGAAGATCTGAAGAAGGGAAAAGAAGACAAAGCGCACCTTCAGGCGGAAGTGCAGCACCTGCGAGAGGACAACCTGAGGCTGCAGGAGGAGTCCCAGAACGCCTCGGACAAGCTGAAGAAGTTCACGGAATGAGTCTTCAACACCATAGACATGAGCTAGGGAAGGCTGAGGAGGACAGCAGAAGGGTCCGGACACTCCCTCCAGCCGGTGTCTTGCAGCCCTGATCCCACCATAGAAAGCATCCTCAGTGCACCTTCCCCGGCATCCTACTCCGCCCCCTTTCGGGGAGTGCGCAGCACAACAGTTGTAGATCAGCAATCATCACCTGCCTTTTGTAGAAAAGAAAAACAAACAAAAAAAAGTAAATAAAAAATTTAAAAAGTAAAAATAAAAGTTTAACCGATAAAAAAAAAAAAATCCCTCTTAAGCCTGAGCTGGCCAGGCGCAGTGGCTCACGCCTATAATCCCAGCACTTTGGGAGGCTGAGGTGGGTGGATCATGAGGTTAGGAGATAGAGACCATCCTGGCCAACATGGTTAAAACCCCGTCTCTACTAAAAATACAAAAATTAGCCCGGCGTGGTGGCGCATGCCTGGAATCCCAGCTACTAGGGAGGGTGAAGCAGGAGAATCGCTTGAACCCAGGAGGTGGAGGTTGCCGTGAGCCAAGATTGTGCCACTGCACTCCAGCCTGGCCACAGAAAGAGACTGTCTCAAATTAAAAAAAAAGAAAAGAAGAAGAAGAAAAAAAAAGCCTGAGTTATATAACAATCTATATGTGACTGTGTTACTCTTTTCCCACAAGATAGGATGGAATTCCCTTTGTAAAACTATGAATCCAAATAAATGTTTACAAAGTGGCTCTTAAGGTAACAACAACAACAACAAAACAGTTTTGCTTTCCATGGTTTTAATTACGCATGTTCAACTGTGGTCCTAAAATAGCAAGTGGAAAATTCCAGAAATAAGAAATTCTTAAGTTTTGGGCCGGGGGGGAGATAGCTTACATCTGTAATCCCACAATTTTGGGAGGCTGAGGGGGATGGATCACCTGAGGTCATGAGTTTGAGACCAGCCTGGACAAAATGGTGAAACCTGTTTCTGCTAAAAATACAAAAATTAGCTAGGCATAGTGGTGTGCACCTGTAATCCCAGCTACTTGGGAGGCTGAAGCAGGAGAAGCACTTGAACCCAGGAGGCGGAGGTTGCAGTAAGCTGAGATCATGCCACTGTACTCCATCCTAGGTGAGACTCCATCTCAAAAAAAAAAATTGTCATTTTAAATTGTGCATTCTTAGTAGCATGATGAAATTGCACACTGTCCAGCTCCATCTGGCCTGGGATGTGAAGTCCCTTTGTCCAATGTATCCACACTTTATATACTACCCGCCCATTAGTCACTTAGTAGGTCTCTTGATTATCAGATCAGAAATAAAACATACTGTATATAAGGTTCAGTACTATCCGTGGTTTCAGGAATCTACTGGGGGTCTTGGAAAGTATCTCCTAAGGATAAGTGGGGAGGACTACTGTATTAGGTAATCAGAAAAAGTACTCTAATCCTAGATGGGCCTAGATACCACAAACATAAAAGACAAAAAGTGAATAGATACTTCTACCCATAATTTAATTATCTGGATATAAATAAAAATAATGCTGCTACTTTGAAAAAATTCTGTTTCAAATATTCTGATTTCTCTTCTCTTCTGAAATTTTCACAATGTTTTCATCTGCTAACCTCAACATCATTTTTTTAACCTCCCACATATTTTGTAAATGAATAGTTATGTTGGCAACCAAAAGTTTCCTGTAAGTAAACTATAAATCAAGATACTGTTATGAATAAAATTCCTTTCTTCCATAGTAAATTTAAGCCCCACTTCTTTCAGTTTACAAAGGTTTCCATGACTTTTATCTCCACCTACATATTTACCCTCTTCTCATGCATGCTTGCTTGTTCATCTCATTGTAATCATTCAACGCCACACAAATATTTACTAAGTGCTCAATATATATTAAGACACATACCAAGGGTTATGTAGGAGTTTTTATGTGCTTGTAAGGAGGAAAGAAATAAACAAAACAATACAAGGTAGTATTTGACTGGTACCTTAAGAGTTATACAAAGAAGGAGCTTAAAGCATTTAGATGACAGAGAGCAGTTTCAGCTGGAGGAATTCTGGTTAGGCTTTATGGAAGAAGTGGCATATGAATGTTACCTTAGATTAGTAGGATTTCAACAGAGAACATTCTAAACACAGGCAACAGTGTAATCCAATATGGAAATATGGGAAAGTGTGTAATATATATTAGGCAATGATTTGCAACATAGTTTAACTTGTAGTGTGTGGGGCAGCAGGTAAAGTTGTTTTTTTACTTTTATTTTTTTAAACAGGGTCTTGTCCTGTTACCCAGGCTGTATTATAGTGGCTGGATCACAGCTCACTGCAGCCTCGACTTCCCAGGCAATCCTCCCACCTCAGCCTCCCAAGTTGCTGGGACTACAAGCGTGGGCTACCGTTCCTGGCTAAATTTATTTATTTATCTATAGAGACAACGTCTCCTTATGTTGCCCAGGCTGGTCTCAAACTCTTGGGTTCAAAAGGTCTTCCTGCCTTTGCCTCCCAAAGTGCTGGGATTACAGGTGTGAGCCACAGTGCCCAGCTCAGCAGCAGTTAAAGTTAATGAGTAGATTGACATCTGATGTTAGAAGCATTGATGCTGAGGCTAGAATAACAATTGAAACTTTATTCCAAAAGTATTAACCCTTGAACTATTTTATTTTATTTTTTTGATAGGCTCTTGCTTTGATAGGCTGGAGTGCAGTGGCATGATCACAGTTCACTTTAGCCTCCACCCCCTGGGCTCAAACAATCTTTTCACCTCAGCCTCCCAAATAGTTGGAACCACAGGGGCACATCACCATGACAGGCTAATTTTTAAATTTTTTTTGTAGAGACAGGGTTTCCCTATGTTGCCCAGGCTGGTCTTGAACTCCAAGTGCCCAAGGGATCCTCCCACCTTGGCCTCCCAAACTGCTGGAGTTACAGGCATGAGCCACTGTGCCTGGCCCAACTCTTGAACTTTTTGAACTGGATAGTTATGCAATCAAAGTAGAAGTTAGAAGGAAGAGTCAAATTAGTAAGGATGGAGTGGAGATATTTACCCGAGATGGGAAGGCCTTTCAGGGGAGAATAGTAGTGATCCAAGAAGGAAGTGGTAAATGTCCAAATTAAGATGATAAAAATTAGAATAGAGAAAAATGAATGATACAACAAGAATTGCAAAAGAATAAACAGTTCATATTTCTTCCAACTAGACTGTTGGTTTTTTAGGAGCAAGGACTATGTCTGCTTCTTGTCTCCCAATACATTGTATATTGCTTGACATAAAAAAGTGTTTTATAATGAGTAAATATCCTTTTTAATTACCTGTTTCATCTACTTACATATTATCTGCTTTTAAATAATTATGTCTTGACTATTAGACTCAATCACCTTCTTTTCTCATTTCTCCCTCATATATATATATATGGGGGGGGGAGGGAGAGAGAGAGAGAGCCAGCACAGCTAATTTTTCATAAGAAACAGATTTCAATAATACAAAACTAGTTCTTCATTCACTGTAAATCAACAAGAGAGTCAAGAATGAAAAATTGATTTTGGATAAGAGGTAGGAGGTTTTAGAGAATTGTTCTCAGTAAAAAATGAAAGAGCTTTGGAAACTAGGTTCAAATATGTTGAAAACACATGAGAGTCTGGACTATTCACACATGATAGAATAATTTTTTTGAAACACTACCACTACTTCTAATAAGCATTACATTACCTTACATTTTAGCATAAGAACTCATAATACACAGCAACTGACAGAGTCATCCGGGACAGGGGTCCGCAACCCCAGGCCATGGACTATTATCCATCCATGGCCTGCTGAGAACTGGGTTGCACAGCAGGAGGTGAGCTGTAAGCAAGTGTGCATTACCACCTAAGCTCCACCTCCTGTCAGATCAGCAGTGGCATTATATTCTCATAGGAGCATGAACACTTGTGAACCATGCATGTGAGGAATCTGTGGTGCACACTCCTTATGAGAATCTAATGCCTGATGGTCTGACATGGAATAGTTTCATCCCCGCCACTCCCACATCCATGGACAAATTGTTTTCCATGAAACTGGTCCCGGGTGCCAAAAAGATTGGGGACTGTTGACCTAGGAGATTGAGAAGGGATCGTACCACATGTGGGTAGGATTTCCTATGCTTTGCTCTATTTCTGATATGGAATCTATAGTGGCAAACAGGCTTCATTCCTGGCACAGCTCATTAACAATATTCCAGCATGTCCTAGGACTGCATAAGAAAGAATCCACTAACTGTATGAAAATGATTTTAAGTCTCTATTTTGAACTGAGAATAATTTCCCAAGATTCTGTATTCTGAAGTCAATAAGGATTATTGCACAGTTTTTTTCCTCTGTTTTGCAATGCTAAGTTTATAGCTTGGTGCCTCACTTAAAAAGGGGAATTGCCCATGTATTACTACTTAACTACCTTAGATTAGCTGTTAGAGAGATAAGGGTGATGAATGGTGCTTAGCCCCAGTGGTGAAATTGACCTAATTTTAAGCTTCCTGATAGAACCAGCAGGTTTATCAACTACTCCCTAAAATATTTGGAAGCATATGACAAAGGAGTGTAACTAATTCTATACAAATCTTTAAAGAAGAATTCCATTATAAGTTGCAATAAATATTGAAAGAAGAAGGCTCTCTTATTTGAAACTGCCTTTTAAGGCAAATACAGTGTATTTCCATTTTAAAAGGAAAAGATTATTTTGTAGCATCCAAGCTACAGGGGCTCACATTGCTGGACTTTGGAAAATATTGAAAATATCCACCAATTGAGGTTTGCTAACAACAGGTCTCACTGTGACTCCAAACCTTGGAGTAAATTCTCTTTCTGTAGCAAAAAGTCTTTAGCAGGCTGAGGCAGGAGAATTGCTTGAACCCAGGAGGCGGAGGTTGCAGTGAGCCGAGATCTCGCCATTGCACTCCAGCCTGGGCAACAAGAGTGAAACTCCGTCTCAAAAAAAAAAGTCTTGTCATTTTTGTTAAAGTGTGTTTGTATGTTTACATATAAAGTAATGTGTATAAAATTTAAC